GCTAAGCGAGCAGCGCATCGCTGCACATGCGCGCGAGCTTTTGCCCAGTAATTTTCCATTCATTTCTAACTCCTAACTGTAACTTGTTTACGTCTTCGACTAGCATAATCGAATGACGTGCATAGCCAAAGCTTAGTCAGTCACATTTTTGCTCTCAATGCAATCTAACGCAGCGCGGTCGACAATATTAAATGTAATTGTTCGGAAATAAATAAAATTATATTAAACAGTATACACTAGGGCGGATTCATTTATAAACATCCTAAAAACTGGTCCTTCGAGCCGGATTCGCCATTACTGTTTATTTTCGGCAAATTTATTTAATTATTGAGGTTTTTTGTCAACGGTGATCTATAGATTTCAAAATCGTATAGAGTCGTTATCTTTTCGCGATCGCCATGCGGAGTGTGATTCAACAACGGGGCTTTTGTAAAAGCCAAATCACACGGGCGCATAATAATGCCCTAAAATTTGTGGATGACATTCAATCAGTGGACACAATTGTGGTGCGCCTGTCGCAAATTCAAGACAATTATTTGCGGTTTGTGCGACATTCGGAAGAGCTGTACGCCTTCCAATCGGAGTCGGATTGGGAGAATCCGGACGACGATTTTGATGCCTATGAGGAGAAACATTACGCTACACACGCCATCCTAAGCAACACTCTGGAGGAGTTACGGCGTGATCAGACGTCTAGCAATATTTTGGCCACTGTGCAACCAGCAGATGCGCCCCAGAGGAGCCATGTGGATTTCCAGTTCGAGCGAATCAAACTCCCAACCTTTGCCGGGAATTATGAGGACTGGAAACATTTTTCGGATATGTTTACGGACTCGATTGCTTCCAATTCGAGCCTGACGGATTGTCAACGATTTCATTACCTCAAGTCGTATCTATCCGGAGACGCCCTCAATTTAGTCAAACATATTCCTGTGACTAATGAGAACTATCGGGAAGCATGGGATCGGCTTGAGCAGCGATATAACAAACAATCGCTAATTATCCGATCATTCCTTAACAGTTTCATGACCCTTCCCAGTGCTACGTCTACTAATCTCAGCACAGTGCGGAAACTGGCCGATGGCGCAGACGAAGTTATTCGTGGTTTGCGAGCCCTTGACTGCGAAGAGAGGGATCCTTGGCTAATCTTCATCCTATTGTCAAAATTAGATACCGATACTTGCCAAGCTTGGGCGCAGTGCGCAGACTCCGAGGGAAAAGGTGTGACCATCAACCAATTCCTTAAATTTCTCACCTCTCGCTGCGATACTTTGGAGGCTTTTCACTTAGTTCGACCAACCCAAGCTCGACGCGCAGCCACAACGCACCACGCAGATACGCATCCTAGACGAGAAGAACCCAAATGCACATCGTGCCAGCAAACTCATCAACTGTTCAAGTGTCCTCAGTTCAACGGACTCGACATCGCAGCTCGCCGGGAGTTTCTCAAGACGAAAAAGCTATGTTTCAATTGCCTCAGCCCAAGTCACATGGCGGGTAACTGTACATCGAGACACACTTGTCGGATTTGTCGCCGCAAGCATCACACCCTGGTTCACCCTGGCTCGGCGCAGCCAACTCAAAACGGTAACTACTTGGAGAGAGCCCGTATGGACAGCCGCGATCGTCCATCAACCTCACAAGCGCCATCTACGATCGGCCAGAATCAACCGCCTGGTCAAGAGATTCATCAATCAGGGAGTTTACCTCCCGCGGAAAATAACTTCACGCATCATACGCTGGAGAATATTTCAGCTGCAGGTTCGCAGACTCTGTTGCCAACCATCCTTGCAGACGTCGTCGACGCCTGGGGAAATACTACAACCTGCAGGCTGCTCTTGGACACTGGGTCCACAATCACCTTGGCGTCGGAATCATTTGTTCAGCGAATAGGCGTACGTCGAACGCACGCCCGGATTTCTGTACTCGGTCTCGCAGCCAACAGCGCTGGCGTTACCCGAGGACGCGCACATATCAAGCTGCGCTCTCGTCATTCGGACCAAACTGTCGAACTGGTCTCGTTTATTCTCAATTCGCTGACATCATCACTCCCGGCCCAGGCTATTGACACCTCATCTTCTACGTGGAAGCAAATCTGCGAGCTTCCTTTGGCAGATCCCACATTCTGCACGCCAGGATCCATCGATGTCATCGTTGGATCAGATCAACTCTGGTCTCTTTATACTGGAGAACAGAAATGCTTTGGTAACGACGCTCCTATCGCTCTGAATACTGTTTTTGGTTGGATTATTGCAGGCTCTTACAATGCATGCGATGATCACCTGACTTCAGCGGTTACTCATCACGCGGACCTCGACACGATGGTTCGCTCTTTCATGGAGATGGATAATATACATCCTAGCCAGGCTCTTTTGGACGCCAACGATCCAACAGAGCGTCATTTTGCTGCCACCCACACGCGCTTGGAGAACGGGGCTTACGTCGTCGAGTACCCCTTCAAGGAGCATGCGCCGCCTGTTGATTCAACTTTACCGCAGGCCATCAATCGCTTCCACTCGCTGGAACGCAAGTTTCGTCGATCTCCAGACTTGAAGCAGCAGTATGAAGCATTTCTGGACGACTACTTGCGACGTGGTCATATGGAACAGCTGACATCGGCTCAAATGGATGAGTCCCCAGAAACCTGCTTCTATCTGCCGCACCACGCTGTCATCAAACTGGACAGTCTGACTACGAAATGTCGCGTAGTTTTCGATGGATCGGGAAAGGACAGCCTTGGAGTGTCTCTCAATGATCGACTTCAAATTGGCCCACCCATTCAACGCGATCTTCTCGGCGTTTGTTTACGTTTCCGGCAGCACCCATATGTTTTCTGCGCGGATATCGAGAAGATGTTCCGAGGAATTCAAGTCTTCAAGCCGCACACCAATTATCAGCGCATTGTTTGGCGCAAGAACGAGAATGAACCACTGCTTCATTTTCGCCTGTTGACGGTCACCTACGGATTGGCGCCGTCACCATTTCTGGCTGTTCGAGTTCTTAAGCAACTAGCTGAGGATCACCGCCACGAGTTCCCCGCAGCAGCCCACGCGCTTCTACACGACGCTTATGTAGATGATATCCCAACAGGGTGCAACTCATTCGACGAGCTCATGATTCTCAAAAACGAGCTGATTCAACTGTTGGATAAGGCGCAATTCAAACTACGGAAATGGAGTTCCAACAGTTGGCGTCTTCTAAAATCATTGCCAGAAGAGGACCGATGTTATGAGCCTATCCAGCTCCTCAACAAATCAGCTGCGGATTCACCAATCAAAATTCTTGGCATCCAATGGAATCCCGGAAAGGACGTCATGTACCTCAATATCAAGGAGTGCGATCCGACCATTTCTCCGACGAAAAGGGAACTCTTGTCGCAGCTATCAAGAATCTATGACCCGCTTGGATTGGTAGCGCCAGTCACAGTTCTACTCAAGCTTATCTTCCAAGAAAGCTGGACAAGTGTTCTGCAATGGGATGACCCGATTCCTGAAACTCTACGCTCGCGCTGGAAGGCCTTGGTGGAGGATTTGCCAACACTTACGCAATGTCAAGTACCACGATACATTGCGTCACCATTCCAAGACGTTCAACTACACGGATTCGCCGACGCATCCGCGCAAGCCTACGGTGCGGTTGTATACGCTCGAGTAGCATATGGAGGCAGTTTTCAAATAACCCTAGTTGCTGCCAAAACCCGTGTAGCCCCGATCAAGCCTGTTTCGATCCCACGTTTGGAACTGAATGCTGCTCTACTTCTTTCTCGATTGCTCTCGATTGTCAAAGCCTCACTAACGATTCCTATTTTCAGCACGAGCTGCTGGACAGATTCAGAAATTGTGCTACACTGGCTTTCAGCTCCCCCACGAAACTGGAACACATACGTCTGCAACCGAACGGCTGAGATCTTGAACGACTTTCCTCGCAGCTGTTGGAATCATGTTCGCACAGAGGACAACCCTGCCGACTGTGCTTCTCGAGGACTTCATCCGTCCAAGCTTCTGGAGCATCGACTGTGGTGGAAGGGTCCATCATGGCTGGCCACACCGCCCTCTGATTGGCCACCGTCTACAAGCAAGTTCAGCGTATCTTCAAATCTCGATGTCAACACCGAAGAGAGAGCTGTCAAGCTCACAACTCTACATAACTTTCCTGATGAAAGTATCTACGAGTTACTCATCCACAAATTCTCAACCTGGACGCGTCTGCTAAGGGTATCTAGCTACTGTTATCGCTTTATTCACTCTCTTCGATCTCGTCATAGGAATCCGGCACCATTCCTTACATCCGAAGAGTTGCAGGCCGCACGATGCCGACTCATCCGACACGTGCAACAAAATTTCTTTGCCAGAGAATATGCGCAGCTAGAGAATCGACGCCCGCTTAATGCTAAATCGCATTTAATTCGGTTCTCCCCATTTCTGGACGATCATGGAATTATGCGAGTCGGTGGAAGAATCGACAAATCGACAATCAACTTCAACGCCAAGCATCCAATCCTAATACCAAAGGATTCACCACTAGCTGGGCTCCTGGTTCGACATTTTCACGTTTCACATCTACACACTGGAGTTGATGCTACGTTCACCAATCTTCGTCAGCAGTACTGGATTCTGGGTGCACGCAATCTGGTCAGAAAGGCAGTTTTCCAATGCAAACGCTGCTTTCTTCAACGCAAAGGCACCAGTAACCAGATCATGGGAGAGCTGCCAATCCCTCGAGTTCAGGCTAGTCGCTGTTTCCAACATACAGGGCTGGATTACGCTGGACCGATCGCCATCAAGGAATCAACAGGACGAACTCCTCGGATCGGAAAGGCATGGTTTTCTATTTTTGTCTGCCTAACTACAAAGGCAATCCATATCGAGGTCGTCAGTGATCTGACTGCAAAGGCCTTCATCGCCGCCTTTCAACGATTTATTGCCCGACGAACAAAGCCCACCGATCTGTACTCGGACAACGGAACCACATTTCATGGCGGAAAGCAAACTTTGGACGACATGCGACGCCTAGTCATCGAACAATCAAAAGATGAGGAACTGGCTGGATTCTTCGCCAACGAAGGCATTTCTTGGCACTTCATACCCCCATCTGCCCCTCATTTTGGCGGAATGTGGGAAGCCGGCGTTCGTTCCATAAAACTTCATATGCGACGGATACTTGGATCCAAGGCTCTCACGTTTGAGGAACTAGCGACTGTTTTGACCCAAATTGAAGCCATCCTCAACTCTCGCCCACTGTGCCCAAATGTGGATAATTCGTTGGACCCGCTGACTCCCGCTCATTTCCTGACTGGAGCTCCTTATACTGCCCTCTCTGAACCCTGCCGTCTGGATATGCAAATCAATCGACTGGAGAGGTGGAATCAGCTGCAAGCTATGGTCCAAGGTTTCTGGAAACGGTGGCATATGGAATACCTGACATCGCTTCACGAACGCACAAAATGGCATCTAGAAACTGAGAATCTGAAGATCGACACACTGGTGGTACTCAAGGAGCCAAATCTACCTCCCTCTAAATGGATTCTTGGACGCATCAGCGAGGTGCACGCAGGATCAGATGACAAAGTACGGGTCGTAACAGTAAAGACGGCCCATGGATTCTACAAACGCCCAATTACCAAAATTGCTGTCTTGCCTCTGTGCTGAACGACCGTTCAGGGGGGCCGGTATGTTTGGGAACGAGACACCCTGTATTGGGTTTCGCGCTCTTTGTTTTGATCGCCGCTGCCGGCGGCCTTATCAGCGGTCGCTAAGCGAGCAGCGCATCGCTGCACATGCGCGCGAGCTTTTGCCCAGTAATTTTCCATTCATTTCTAACTCCTAACTGTAACTTGTTTACGTCTTCGACTAGCATAATCGAATGACGTGCATAGCCAAAGCTTAGTCAGTCACATTTTTGCTCTCAATGCAATCTAACGCAGCGCGGTCGACAATATTAAATGTAATTGTTCGGAAATAAATAAAATTATATTAAACAGTATACACTAGGGCGGATTCATTTATAAACAGTTGTTTTTCTACGCATTTTCATCTACTCTGAGATATAAGCTTATTTTATTATTTTAGAATTTTGGTATTAATTTCATAAAAATCGGACAACTATATCATATAGCTGCCATAGAAACGATCGGTAGATGTAGAGAAAATGTAAGGCTGGGAATGTAAAACTGTAACTATCAAACTGTAAAGATAATAAGTATAGGTAAAATGTAATGAAATGATATCTGCAAGGGTATACAAACTTCGGCGTGCCGAAGTTAGCTTCCTTTCTTGTTTCTCTTCTAAATGCCGCCGATTTGTGAACCAAAGGTGATCTACATATGTATGTTCATAAATCGGCAATGTTCGTACATACCTATGTGCGTATGCAAATTGTGTAAGTACCCTTCAGTTCCATTCCTCAACGATTCCCCTACGATTCCTCACGGAACCGAAATAGATCCCTGACGAATCGTCAGGGAACGTTCATACAAAACTTCGAGGAATTTCCATACAAAAGGTGATCCCAGCCACGAATTCGAAATTCGCCAAGAATCTGCCACGAATCGCCAGGGAAAGTCACCGGGAATTTCGAAAGATAATCGTGCACGATTCGTCAAGGAATCGCTGGGGGAATCGTCGACGAATCTTGCGGGAATCGCTAGAGGAATCGCACAGGAATCGCTGGCGGCAATCGTCGAGGAATCGCACGGGGAATCGTCGACGAATCTTGCGGGAATCGCTTTGGGAATCGTCGAGGAATCCCAGATGAAAACCTATAGAAAATTCCTGAAAAAACCCCCTTCCTATAAAAAATCCGATGTAATTTAATTCTTATTTATTTATGGATTGCATATTTTTATTTATCTTTACTTTTTTGGTAGCATTACATTTTTCTGCAAAATTAAACATGTACATACATATGTACATATATCTTAAAGGCCCAGCAGCCGGCAAAGGAGGCCCGTGACACGCACTTATGTATGTACATATGTACATATATGTATGTACATATGTACATACATAAGTGCGTGTCACGGGCCTCCTTTGCCGGCTGCTGGGCCTTTAAGAAACTTTTTTTATCTGTAAATTAAATACATAAGTACATATGTACATATTTTTTAATCAAATTGTAAATTGCAGTACATACCAACTTAAACTGGATAAAAGAACTTTGTAAATCCGTACTGAATCCCATTCACACCGTCTAGGTTGAAGTCGCATCCATTTTAATCGTCAATTCTGCAATTAAAATTAATAATTTAATGCAAATAAGTTCCACTTACCTTATAACTTTTCATTTTTACGCAACTAATACGCAAAACACTTCTGAATGCAACAGCAGTCAACTCAAAATGCAAAGAGAATTAGAAGACAAAACCGAACAACGAAAATTCTCGCGCGTGTCAGTGTATAGCCGACAAGGCAATGCCTTGCAATTAGATTCACAAAGGGCCAATAATCAAACATGAACATTTCGGCCATGTCTAAAGCACATTTTCTTACGTGCTTATATCCCACACGATTTTATACGTAAAAATTAATTAAATATAATCTTAAATATTTTTAAATAACTCCACTTATTTTAAAAAGGTCATTCTCACGTCGGTGCAATACTCTTTGTTTTTGACACCAATTTTCTTTCCTCCCTTCCTTCCATCTCCATCTCTCTCTAATTTACGAATTCTCGCAACCGCTACTCCGAACGTAGATCGAAAACAATAACAAATATGAAGAACGAACTTCGTGAAGCCCTCGGCAGTAGCCGAGCGTAGGTAGAATTTGTTTCGGCTATTTTGTTTCGAACTTCGCTGAACGAGGCCCATGTAATTTGTTTTTGTTTTTCGAACATACCGCGAGGAATTGGACGGGCGAGGAATTCTGGAACTGAAGGGTATGTACGTACATATACTACGGAATCGGTGTGGATGTATGGTTTTTTATGTATGGAAAAAAAAAAACTGGATGTAAACCTTTTCGGATATTGGCTGATTTAGAAAATAGGAAAGGGGCATATAGCCATGTAAATTGGATGCAGCAGTATATCTACATATATATGCATGTATGTACATACATATATGATGGGAATTTCGGCACCGTACTTATCTTGGCAAAAAAGGCGCTGGAATATCTCGGGCGAAGGACCAAAAATGAAGCTGTCGGGGGCCGTGGCATATACATATACTACTGCCCAAGTTGGTAGTGTTTTAAATAAATTGGATGCAGCAGTATATCTACATATATATGCATGTATGTACATACATATATGATGGGAATTTCGGCACCGTACTTATCTTGGCAAAAAAGGCGCTGGAATATCTCGGGCGAAGGACCAAAAATGAAGCTGTCGGGGGCCGTGGCAAGTACAATTCCAGATTCCCAATAAAAGTAGGCAGAGTTTTAATATGATGATGAGGAGGACCAACGATCCGTCTTCTTTGGAGTTTATTTTCAGAGTGGTAAAAGAGAAGTACAACTAATATGGCGACAGGTACATTTTTCCCAGTGATGCTCCCCTGGCGATATTGCCCCTTGTTCAGCATGAACACATCGAATTCGGGTTTAACCTAGTTGCACGTGGGCATTTAGTGATTTTTTTTTGTGTGGCAAATAAAATCAAATATTCCACTGAAGTTTAATCAACTCAAACATCGCTGACCCTCGTCTGAAATATTTCTCTCGACCAATCGAAATTTGTCTTGTCGTTTGCCAGTTGATTAATTATTTCACAGCAATATGGGCGCACGTTGGATTTCGTATCTGCGGAAGCGGGAATTGGAGGCGATTTTGAAGGAGTTTTCTTTGGAAGCAACCGGAACCGTGGAGGAAATGCGGAGCCGACTGGCTGCCTTCAACAATCGAGATGATCACGTGCTGGAGGTCACCGATCGACTACAGGAATGTAAGGCGGAAATTAACGCCACTCTAACGGATAGGAAACAGCGTTCGCCGAGTCCACACCCACACCCACCGGGTCCCGCGCAACTGCAAGTACCAGCACTGGAGGGCAGAGCTACCGCCGACGTGGCCAGAGACGTGGAGACCCTCCCGGCCAGACGAGAGATTCTTCCAAAGAAGGCGGAGATGTCAGCAGCCACGCTGTCGGAGAAGCTGAAGAACTGGGGGATAACTTTCGATGGCACCCCGGATCCCATCACCTTCATCCAGCATCTCGAGGAGCGAGCAACCGCCTACGAAGTCGACGTGGAGAAGGTGCCGCAAGCCATCCCTGGTCTTTTGACGGACACGGCCGAACACTGGTTCCGGACGAGCCAGCTGTTAGGAGAATCATGGACGAAGTTCATAAAGGCGTCTAACCGAAGTACCAGATGTACGCCAGGAGGCACGATTTTACCACGTTGGACCAACTTACCAATTTGGCGGTAAATTTCGAGGTCACCCGGGATCGGAGCACTGGAAGCCATGCCAGGATGTTAGCTGAACCACAACCAGCGCCAAGGAGGAGCGAATATGAGCCACCAGCAGGTCAACAAAACTTCTCGCGAACAGCCAGGCGACCACCCACCCCAACCGCGGTTCCACAACATGGTCCTCGAGTAGGGAATCTGTCGATGATAACAAATTTCAGGTTTGCTTGTAGGAATTGCGTTTAAGAGGGCCATCAGCAGGCAACGTGCCGCAATCCCAGAGTCCTTTTCTGTTGGGATTGTGGGCGCAGGGGAATACGCACGGTCGAGTGTTGCAGACGCACCCAGCCGGGAAACGAGAGGAGTCTTCGCCCACTCGGGGAGCGGACGGAGACTGCCTTCAGGAATCCCCGGAATTAGGAGAGATCTTACAGGTGCAGGCCAGCCGAATTATCGCGCAGGTGCAGATCGAGGGGCAGAAGTTCAACGCGACTATAGATACCGGAGCTAGTAGGAGTTTTGTGAGTGAACGAGTGGTTCAGCTCGTAGGGACAGCACATAACGTACGGTCGGTACGCACTCACGTCAGCCTGGCTGAAGGCTCCCGCAAAGAAATCACAACGTCTCTGGTCGCCGAAGTCCAGCTGGACCAACGTAGGGTAACTTTTCCTCTGTTGGTTCTGCCTTCGATCATGGAAGACGTGCTCTTAGGCATGGACTTCTTTTGTGGCGTATCTTCCATTATCTAATGAGGCCGCGCATCACTGCAGCTAAACCCTTTCCTGTTAACCAGCCCCACCTACAACTTAGCTACGCCGTCGGTTTTGACAAACGCGTTCACTCCGAAAACAGCAGACCCAATCGAAGCCGTAGAATCCGCGCCAGCCAGCAACGAGACAGATCATGCGACGCAAGATACCCCGACCAGTAGCATTTAAGGGCCTCGAGATGACAACGCCTTGCGAAACAATCCGTTTCAACGAAAGCAAGCCACCAGGCCAGCGGAGCCAGCAGTGGAACCCGTAGCGGAAAGGCGAGCGCCTTCACCAGCCATACCAGAGTCCACACCTGACGCTGGAGGAGCGCTAGCTGTCATCACCGAAAACACGGAGCACACAGATTTGGAGCCATGGGTGAACGAATTCTTACAAGAGGAACTGGCGAAGTTCGAAGGACTGACAGGAGTGTCAAATATCGCTGAGCATACGATCACGATGCGGGACGATAAGCCCATCAAACAGAGATATTTTCCGAAGAATCCCGCGATGCAGAGGATTATTGATGAGCAGATCGACGAGC